ATTCTATTTCATCATGGTTCTGAAATAGAAATTTACATTCGTGGATTCTAGATTCCCACATGATTTAGATTCACTCGGCGACGAGCATGCCTGGCCCTTGCAGCCGTTTTGAATCGTGTGCAAAATTGGGTCGAGCTTTTTTCATTCCCTGCCGGTGACGATGACAGTTATTTTTTTTGTTCGTTTGAGGATGGGCCCGCAACCCGCTTGAGACGGTGACTCCCATCTGCCCCCCTGCCCCTATTTACGACAATTACCCCGTCTTGCAGTATTCGTCACTTTTACCTTTTGAAAGTACTACAGTAGCCCAATCATCTCATGCTAACGATATGATCTACTCCCCCTGGTCGGTTATTCCCCAAAATCGATTCATTCATTCATCCTACCTAGAGAACTACCGTATAAATACGACTATCGGTGTTCGAGCTCACGAAATTCTCCAATTTTGATTCGATCGCTGTTGCCATTATTCTGACATTCGGTGGGTATGTAGTATGGTTATCCATTGCCAAAAGTTTACTATTGACCTGCTCCTTTGCTGTTGGTAGCAGTAGTAGGCTCTAAATAGGAAAGGTTTCCACCTTCGTACCTTGCCGAGAAGCAGTCATACGCGAGCTCCTGTGAAATGAACAATACTGTACATTTCTAGTACGGCCAACAGTTTGGAAATGAAGTGCCGAATAACATTGATAACGACCATCGTACTTGTCCTATTAGGACCTATTCCAATTGTCAATTGTTCATTTTCAATATAAAAATACAAGTTTTTTCTTTAAAATTAAAGGTTACATCAGTACAGAATGACAGATCAGGCTCTTCTGGTTGTTGTCTGTTACTGCTTGCTGCATCGTCATGATTCAATCATTCATTCATTCTAACAATGATGAAGGATCGACAATATATAATATTCTCGCCACGCACAAAGTGTTCGTGACTGTCGTTTTTGGTTCGTGTACAGTAGGATATATATATGTAGTCGATTGGTTTGTCTCCTTGGATAGTTTCTTGTGGATGGGAGTTCGAAAGCAGGCGGGCAAAGTGTAGTTGTAAAGTAGTATGACATTGTGATGGTGGCAATCGTCCGTTTGTTTGTTTGATTGTTTGTTTGTTTGATTGGTTGGTTATATGATTGCCACATCATGTGCAAGGGGGTTCGTTCTTGGATCATCGGATCAGCCGCCACACACAACAAAACGTGGGTGCATCGTTCTTGGCGCGCCCCCAATCCAAGTCCCAAACCATAATATACAATAAGTATTAGGCTTTGGTTTCCGTTGTTGGTGGTGGTGGTGTCCAGATCCTTCCATCCACCATTGCCGAGAACTGAATGGGATGCTTGGTTCTTGTTGGCTTCTGCTTATTTACAATTGAGGGTTCAAGGATTTAACGAATTCATCAAGGAAACTGCAAATTGTGATGGTAAAAGGAGTGAAGTGCATAATATTGTGAGTATCATGATACGGAATAGAGTAGTCGGCCACGGATGAATGAATCAATGAATCAATCGATCAATCAGTCAATACCGAACAAATATAATAACTTACCCTTGCAATTCGCGTTCCGAGTAAAACAAATCTTGTCGAATGGAGGGTTCAGGAGCTGGAAGCTCATGTACGGTAACATCCTCGCATTGGAAAGAAACCTTGCGGTTGCGTCCCTTCCCAGTCAAGCATTCCATTTTGAAGTCGACATAGTCGTGTTCATTGTAGTGCAAGAAATACCTGTCTCGCTTGGAGGTATAGGGGCGGTAGTGAACCTCCGTCACCAAGGGTTCCACAAAGGAGACTCCGAGATTGCTTTCGGAAGAAGAGGATGATGACGAGAAAGACATGGTAGTGGCCGTATCATTATCATCATTATCATCATCATCATCTCCTTTTTCTTCCTCCAGTTGCTTTCCCTTGAGGTTGAGTACCGAAGCAGCATGCTCCAGGTAAACAAAGAAGGACGACGACGAGGATGATGAGGATGATAATGAAGAAGATGACGAAGATGAGCCTCGATGATTCTTCAAGACAATCTTGTTATTATCCTCCTCATCGTCACTATCATCGTCGTTCCATTCAGAAGCATTGGAAGCCGTCAGGATGGAATCATCACTGTCCTGGCGTTCAAAGCTTCCATGGCTGCTGGAAGTGAGAGACTCTTGAGGCTTGGAGGGAGTAGTAGTGTCATTAATACCAGTATTAATACCAGCAGTACTACCAGTAGTACTACCAGTGTGTAGAGCCAACTTGCGCTTTCCCGCCATGGTGAGGCAAGCTGGAAGTGAGCATCCAATAGTCGATAGCGAAAAGTCCATTGTCGTTTCTTGTCTTGTGTGTCCTTGTGTGTCTTCGTGTCGTCTGTGTCAGTTTAATGAATCGTGAGAGACTCTTTCTCTGCTTCTCCTCTCAGGTTTTATGATGGATGGAGATTGAGGATACTTTTTCCGACCTTCACCACCTAGGCAATGCATCGACTTTTTTTGGTGCAATTGAGGTGGTGAAAATCTGAGAAAGATTGTGTTTTGGCCAAATTCAATCAGTGCCACGTCGATATTACGACTCATAACCAATTAATGGACAGATGTTGCTGTCAAAACACTTAATGATCCAAAAAGTGAGTTTTGCCACGTAGAACGAGACAGAAGTCTAACCGAAGCATTGATTTAAGCATAATTGTTATATACGGAATAGTGCATCAGACACGATTTTTCTTCCATTGACACTTCTAATCAGAAAACGATAGATGAGACAAGATGACTCAGGCAGTGTCACATATGTGGCACGATTCTGTCGGACTACCTCAGAATTTTTAGGTGGCGAGTCGTATAAGTGTCAACCAGAAGTGCGTCTGAAGCCTTCTGCTTATATATCGCTCCGTCTATACCGTACTCTTCCACCGGCTGCTTTGTATTGAAGCGGCTAAAAAAGTACGATCCTTTCGCCTGTCCCCTTGTCCACCCAAGAGTAAAGTCCAACCGGAAAAAATCTTCTCCCGCCAAGGTCTGTACTGCATCCGCATAGTGCAAGGTTCGGGGCAACAATCCGTGAAGAAGGGGCAAGAGTCCTTCAACAGATGTATCGTATACTGCACCAGTACATTAGTATTCATTCCTTGTCAATAGTATTGTTTCACTTTCAGATGACATTCTTTCGTGCTACGACAGCTGTAGCTCTATTGTAACAACAAGGTGGTCATTGAGGAGGACTGCCTGCTGTGGTGCTGGTGGTGCTGGCCGTTCTTGTTGCTTTTGATGACTAGTACGATGTCACAGCATAGTGGTACTACTAGTAGTACACTACTACGCACTATGATGACACTGCTGAGAATATGATCATTTCGTAATCAGCAGCCACCACCAGCCAGATGCGATATCCATTCGACTTTTTAACTATTATTTCTAAGTAACAATGTTTTGGGGTCAAAACAAAGATTTAGGGGGTGAGCGGACCCACACAATAGTAAAGTATGATGATATCTGTCTGTCCTAAATCTACCCGTACCTCAACAAAAGAAGACGGGCCACTTTGCAGACTATAGTACGATGTCACAGCATAGTGGTACTACTAGTAGTACACTACTACGCACTATGATGACACTGCTGAGAATATGATCATTTCGTAATCAGCAGCCACCACCAGGGAGATGAGTCAAAATCGAGATTTCCCCTTCTGTAGCCCCCAAAGAGATTTTCTGGTAGAACCGATTTTTGATGAAATACTATAAGCGGTAATTTCTTTTTTTAACGAAACTCGAAACGAGTCGAACTGATCCATTCTAGGTTTTGAAACATTAGACAAAAATAGGCACGTAGCCAACCTACAGGAAAACTGTACTGTTTTTTGTTTGATACATCATAACATTTTTCTGCGAGAGAAAAAATTAAAATAAAAAAAAGAGAGGCTCGTATGCACAACTCCTATACTGATGGTTCAAAACATTTCTTTGATTTCTACTGTTTTTTTGGTTTTTCATAGGCCCAAACCTAGCGATAAACCACGAAGGTGCGTTCGAAATTTTCGGGGAACGAAGTTGGACGTGCGATATCCAGGGGATTTGAGATTTTGACTCATCTCTCAGCCAGATGCGACATCCATTCGACTTTTTAACTATTATTTCTAGGTTACAATGTTTTGGGGTCAAAACAAAGATTTAGGGGGTGAGCGGACCCACACAATAATAAAGTATGATGATATCTGTCTGTCCTAAATCTACCCGTTCCTCAACAAAAGAAGACGGGCCACTTTGCAGATTATACGTGGCCGCGTATCCTTCAATTTCAGTGTTAGTAGATCTATACCGGTATTGCAACATGGCCGTAGAATATTCTGCACCGCAGGCTTACTACATCGTCAAAGCCAGATGCTCCAAAAAATCGAAAAGAAGAAAAGATGCCAAGAAAATAAACGAGACAATAATCGAAGAAGATCCAAGCAATAAGAACCGCCCATTATTCGCATTACAAGTCGACGAGAGAAGTAGAGTTTTTGTTATGGACATGGTCCCAAAAGTTGCAGAATTTCTGGAAGTTGGCACAGTGGATCTCATTACCGAAGAAGTGAAGACATACCTGACAAGACTGCATGGTGGTCCAGAGATTGGGATTAACATTCGGCTGAAATACAACAAGAATCTGGATTGCCCAGTGCTGGAGTCAAGTTTTGCCATTTTGGATCACAACGAACGCAATGCCAGCTTCACGAGTATCCTAATCTATGCCCTTACAGGAAATCTTCAAGACATTCTTCAGGTTCTCCTTCGAGCGGAAATTCCCAACGTCGAGCTTCAGTTTGTAGACGATAAATACATCGCGGAAGTGAAAGAATTTCTATCCAACAGTCCCCATCTTCGCAAACTCTGCATCGGTAATCATTATTTGAAGAAGGACCAACACTTGGTCCATGATATTATGAAGTCTTCCAAGTCGCTATCCACTCTGCATTTCAGCAGAAAAAATATGAGTTGGAGTCAACGAAATCAAGTTTGCAACACAAGTCTCAATGACTATATGCGTTACATCTTCGAAATCAAGTCGCTGGAAAGGCTTGACTTGATTCAAATCACAGGTCTCTTCACAGACCATGTCGAAAGTTTAGCAGAAGGTTAATGACTATATGCGTTACATCTTCGAAATCAAGTCGCTGGAAAGGCTTGACTTGATTCAAATCACAGGTCTCTTCACAGACCATGTCGAAAGTTTAGCAGAAGGTTTATTGGACATGAAGTCATCCAAACTCAAAATTCTTGATATATCGGCCAAAAGGAGGTACAACAGCACCAAGCCGACTGATATTACAAAACTAGTAAGAGCCTTGAGACACATAGATACCGTGGAGGAATTCAACGTTAGTCGAAGAATGTTGAGTGGCTATGAGTCTGTCATTGAATGTGCAAAACTACTGAAGCGAAGTAAATGTTTGAAGAAACTTGATTTATTTGCATCTCAATATAGTAACAATTGCCGAATCCACCCTGATGCGTGGACGTATATGGGCAAAGCTTTGCCAAGGACAGATTCGCTACAGAATCTCGACATATCGTTTCATCGATTAAGTGAAGCGTCATGGAAGGCTTTGGGTGAAGGTCTAAAGGTTAACACTAGCTTGTTGACACTGAAAGCATGGAAGCGTTGTGATCTACGATACGACAAGGAGACCAACATTCTTTTGCCAGTATTTGACGCGCTGCACGAGAACAGAACATTGGAATCACTTAGTCTGAACGGATACGATTTGAGCGATTCTATAACAGCCCTGGAGGTACTTGAGTCGGCCTTGATACAAAACACATCATTGAAGTCCCTGCAGATTGAGGAATCGGCAATGACTGATGAGGGTGTTGCGATCTTGAGCCGCAGTCTTCCGCAGATGAAGAGTATCGAAGAGTTGGATTTGGAACATCATGGGTGTTCCTTGAATGGTGCTCAAGCATTTGCCAAAGGCATCAAGAACAACTACAATCTACTGTCCGTTGGACTTGGTACGAGATGTCGACTGCATCGATCAATGTATGGAACTCCAATCGAAGCAGAAGGCTTTGCGAAAGAATGGCACGAGGTTCAGTATTATGCTCGAATGAATCGGAGAGGGCGGCGTTGTATTGGGAGCAAGTCTCCCATCCAACCTCCATTATGGCCATTGGTTCTTGCCAACGCCATGAAGAAGGAGGAGCAGGACCCAAGCGAGTTTATAGGGGGGGTGATGTACGGGAAAAGGATTTGTTCGCCGGTGATTATGATACATCTATCGATGCACTTTTCTTTTTGCTGAGAGATGCCATGGCACTGATGCCGGTCCCTTCGTAGTACTGTACTATGTTGATATCGCATGAATACGATAGTACTCGTACCGGTATACTGTAGTTTGGATTGATTAGTTCGAATAAAGTATTATGCATATTCAATATATTCGTACCAGAAAAACTCCATCAGCCTTTATTGTCATCATCATCTACCGGTATACTATATACTGCGCTGATCCCAACATCCCAATAACATAATCCCAACATTACATTATAGAATCCTTCCTACCGGTAGCATGGCGGTATCTCGTTTGGCAAAGAAAGTGCTCAGAATCCGACCAGCACGCAAGAATCGTCGTGCAGCATCATCATCAGGCCAAGAAGTAGAAGAACGACCAAGAATAACACCCAATACGAAGAAGAAGGATCCGGCAATTGTCGTTGCCGAGCAAGTGAAAGACTACTTGACCGCGCTCTATCGTTCCGAGGGCGACGTGGAGTTCCAATTTCCGGGCAACATCATGTATGGGATTGTCCTGCAATGCAACGAAACGATGGATGGCCACTGCTTATTGTCGTCACACTTTTCCGTGCAGTCAAAGTTTGGCAATGCTTGCTCTGGTTCGATCGAAATTCATGCCAAAGAAGTGGGAGACATTCTAAGAGTATTAAATTGGCTGAAGATATCGTCCTTCGAGCTTGATTTTGTCGAGCATGCCGTTTGCAAAGAACAACAAGTCATTGCAAAGGAAGGGGGAAAGGAAGCTGAATCTTCAATCCAGATGGAATTGGTCCAAGAGGATTACTACATGCACGCAGTGAAAGATTTCTTGTGTATCAACCCCTCGTTGCGCAAATTATCCATCCTAGAGAACTTTTTGAGGCAGGACCAGGAACTAGTTTGTGATGTTCTGAGATCATCCAAGTCATTGTCCACGCTAGAAATCAGTCATCGTGCACTGACCGAGGAAGAGATCTTGGAACAAAGCCTGAACGAATACATTGCTCTAGTTCCCGAATGTCAGTGCCTACAAAAACTGATATTGACCAAAGTCAAGAATCTTTCCCCAACAACGATCCAAGTCATCGCTGATGTACTAGCCAAAGACTCGACACTCAAGGTTCTTGACTTGTCCAATGGCTTTTCGGGAGAGGAACCGTTCGATGTTTTGAAGATAGCGCAAGCTCTGAATGGAAATAGCACTCTGGAAGAGCTAGATCTTGGCAAGAGGGTATTAGCCAACGATGGGTGTATCAGAGCGTTGGCGGAGACGATAGAAACAAACACCTGCCTCAAACGACTTGAATTGGGATTCTTGTACTTTGGGAACGACCTGATATCTCCAGATGCATGGGTACCAATGGGCAATGCTCTCGCCAATAAGTCCAATACGGTGATAGAGTATTTGGATATTTCGAATCACCAACTCAGTGAATCCTCATGGAAGGCCCTTGCGGAAGGTCTGAAATCCAACACAAGTTTGTTGACGTTGGTAGCCACGAGACCATACTCTGAGAAGAACAAAGAGAATACAGAAACGGACATGTTGCTACCAATCTTTGAAATGCTGCACGAGAATACAACCTTACGCTCGCTTCATCTTACGGGTTACAATCTGAGCGATAGTTTCCATTCTTTGGAAAGTCTAGCAATGGTATTATCAGAAGGCAACAGGTCGCTCAAGTCACTCAAATTGAATGGCTCTTACCTGACAGACCAAGGCGTGACAATCTTGAGTCAAGGCCTACCCAAATGGAAGGGCCTGGAACACCTAGACTTGAACCATCACAACTTTTCGCTTCTGGGTGCTCAAGCCTTTGCCAAAGGAATGCAGAGCAACTACAGTCTGATATCGGTGGGTGTCGGTCAAACCTTTCGTCACGGGTTTTCCACAGGCTGCGTGCCACCGCTTTCCGCAGAGGGCTTTGAGAAGGAATATCATGAGATCCAATACTATGCCAAACTAAATCGCAAGGGTCGCCGTTGTTGGACCAAGGATGCTCCACTGGATCCTTCCGCGTGGTCCCTGGTGCTAGCACGAGCGACACGAATGCAAGCCGAGGATCAACCCTTGGGACGTCATCACCTTTGCACTAAGGATGTACGAGAAGAAGACAAGTTTGCTGGAAGCCATGATACGTCGATTGATGCTGTGTACTTTTTGCTGAGAAATGTAATGACCTTGCCTGTGGATTTGTAGCTCGTGCCAACACAACTCTATTCATATCATATTTTAATACTGTATATAATATAATACTTCCAGTTGTATTCTAAAATGACGCTGGCGCCTTAACATAATAATCCTAATAATCGCAATGTATGTATTTGTTGACATTTATGTGCGTGTGTGTGTGTGTGTGTGTGTGTGTCTCCATCTTCATTATACAGCCCTCTTTTCAAATGGATGTCACTCTTCTGTATTATTGTATTTGAAACAAGCAGAAAAAAAAACAAAGGGTGAGGCACATGTGGATTTCACAAAACGGTAACATCAGGTCTTATTTCCATCCCTCAGAAGGAAGTCAGCACAAGGTTTCGACATGTTGCAATTCTGAAAATTGTAATGTAGATATAGATGCAATCCTCATTGGGAGTATGTATATCGATGTTGATATAGGATGCGGGCAGCAATCGCTATCTTACCATTTGAAAAAATCGTTTCCTCCCCAGTATAGCATAGCATAGTATAGTATAATATAGCAGCAAATACATCTATTCATAAGGTCATCTGCAAATAGATCATTGTGTCAAGGTCCCATCATCATGAAAATCAGAATGTTTTCGGATTGAGTATTGATAATAGTTATGTACAGGTGATACGGATATAGATATATATGTATTGGCACCGATGATGAAAAAGAAAGAACCAAGTTAACTTGAGAAATATGTCAGCACACATGCAGTCCAATATATATGTATAATACAACTTTGCCACGCATTCGTATCTAAACTTTAGAATAACTTACGTTCCATCGTCGTCTTCTTCAAAATCAAAAGCACAGATGCCGACTCCTTCTACCAAACTATTCGACAGCACTGATGAAATATCAATGGTAGAAAGTACTCGGACCGATAGTCGCTGTGCTTGTGCTCGGCTTGCGGCTGATATTCGGGGTGCATCATGGTTGGCAAATTGTTTTGGCAACGAGGAGGAGCGTCCACGCATCATGTTGGATCTTCGAGCAATTCCTCGCAGTATTCTCATCTTATTGTACTGTACTTGTATGTTGATGTATGATTCGATGGGTGTAGTAGTGCTGAGATAGAGAGGTTGGATGGTTGGATGGTTGGATGGTTGGTTGGTTGGTTGGTTGGTTGGTTGGTTGATTGATTGATTGATTGATTGATTATTTTGATGCTCTGCTATAAAGTATTCGCAGCGTTGGATTTTTGTATTTCTGCAATGATGATGATTTTCGAAGATCGTGATCGAAGTGAGGTGGTTGAAAGCACAGTCTGCACGTCGTCCTCTGCTATTAGATCCGGGTTCAAGATTCATAAATAACCAAAATTCATCATCATCATATATACTACAGTATATACCGGCAATGACGAAAATGAGAGTCCGAAAATCCAATCCACGCCGTATTCTCTACTCCATCTTTGTGATATCCATACTCTCGTCTGGTGGCAAGCGATCTTCCCCAACCTATTTTCCAGTCGCAAATGGCCTTAACAGTTCCATAAAACGGAATGCAAAAGGACAACCTCGATTGTGTTCTGTCATGGAAGTCAGTCTGAATGGATTCACGAGGTTATGTTTTGGTAAAGCAACGCAAAAAGACATCACAATTCAAGCCCTTTCCAATCGGAAAGTATTACAAGGAAAATTGGAGTCCTTACAAGTTTCGATGAAAAAATCCAAGTCATCCTTGATAGCTTTGGATTCTGTGACCATCACAGGAAACGATTTGAATTTTGGGTATCTGCCTTTGGTCATTGCAGCTAGCCTTCCCACGCTCTTTTTTCTGCTTTCCGTCCGAGAAATATTTTATCTTGCACTCTTTGTGTTTCTATGGAGAAATCAACGACAGAACTTGCTCCGTCCGGAACGAATCAAGGCAATAGAAACACGAATGGAACGACAAAGACAAAAAGTATCCAAATTTCTATTGGGAGAAGGTCCATGTCGGCTCAACTATCAAATTACAATGACCAATGACTCTTTGAAAGACTCGGCATGGGTCCAGGTTCTCGCTAAATCTCTGGTACAAACCTTCATGGCGAACTCCGCACTGCCACTGGCGGCCGCAGTCTCAGATGTCACCAACAATCTAATGCTACTCGAAGACTCGTCATCACCACCATCATCTCCATCCAATCTACGAAATGCTGGTGCGAGTGGTGGTAGTCTATCGACCAATAATCCAAAGGACAATCCAATCTTGACGCTCTGGAAGGAACAAGAAGAAGCCCAAAACGACCAACGACGACGAAATCAGCAGCAGCAGCAGCAGCAGAAGCAAGAAGCAGCATCCACAGCGTCTCCATCTTTTCCCTTGACGGATTTGTTTGCCGCAACCTCGTTCGAATTACGCCAAGCACCAGTCTTTGCCAAGGATGGTCATATTTGGTTGCCCTGTGTGGCCAATCTACCGTATGCTTCCAACAACAACAACAACAACAACAACAACAACAAGAGCCAGTTGGACTTTACGCTACGAACCAAACCAAAGGTTGCTTCTACCTTTCCACAACAACAACAACAACAAAAACAACAAGGATTGGAATTTTCAGCCGCCGAGTGTAGTTTGGATGTCAAGGCCACCCAAACGCCCGAATGGGCCAAACAATTCTTGCCATCCATAGTCTGGTTGCCCATTGGTGCAGCAGGAATGATTTTACCAATTGGCGGTTTTAACAAGCATCAACTAAAACGTGTCACAGTCCAAGACGATGCCTGTCAGATTCAAGGAGAATTGGACTTGTTTCGGAAAAAGTCATCTGATGGTAGTAGTTTTATGGGAGAAGGCCGCATCATTGGTAAAACCTTTGGGAATTTGCTTCAATCCTTTAGTAGTAGGAAACGGCGGGAAAAGGGCAATGACACCGATGATAGACCAAAGCTACCTGGTGGGAAATGAATGAATGAATGAATGAACTAATGAATGAATGGAAGTGGATTATATGCTTCATTGTGGTGTGATGGATGGCATTGTCATGAGGAGCTGCTTGTACAAAGATACATGTACACACGCCACACACTGTTTTTGTACTACCTATTGGAAAACTATTAAAATGAACTAATTTTCTTCAATCCTTTAATGGCCATAGGAAACGGAAAAAGAGTAATGTCGATAGAACCGAACTACCGGAAGAGTGTGCTGACTCTACAAGTTAAAAAATAATAATGAGCGAAATTTCAAGAATCGAAGCGAAATCGACTTATTGGACCTTTTCACCGTGGGAAAATTCAAACTTCCGCCGGGTTTTTTTGCAATCTCAAATCTTCGCCTTCCCCTCGTCGGTATATTGGTACACGTACTGGTGCACGTACAAGTGCGTGCGGTATTGCATATGGCCACCGGAATTTTTAATTTCCAACGTTTCATTTTTCCTGGCATATATATTCTGTCGAGAGTGTGTTATAAAAGAATACGGTAGTATTGACAGCACAACACCACAACACATCAGCTAACAGCGTCAGCAACAATAACATCACAATGACTAAAGATGATCCCAGTACGCAAGTCGTCGTGGTCGTAGATCCGTACAGCACGGGATGTTTGGTGGCAAAGGAAATCAACTTGCGAGGATATCCCATCGTCGCCCTATGGACCAAAGGCTTTAGCGAGGCCATGAAAACACATGTTCCTCAATCGGTTGGAACATTAGAGTACTTGGCCAGCATCGACGAACCCATGGATGCTCCCGCTGGAGACGAGGGATTGAAGATGACGGGTGATCTGATTCAACAAGCGATTAAGGACAAAACGATTCATGCCGTCTTGGCCGGAGGCGAGGCTGGTGTCGATCTGGCCGATGCCTTGAGTGAATATCTAGGCCTCTTGACGAATGGGACTGATATCAAACCCAATCGTCGTGACAAAAAAATTCAGCAAGAATTGATTCGGAAGATGGGATTGAGATCGGTCCGTCAAGCCGGTGGTGACAAGCTGGAAGATGTGGAAACTTTTCTGAAAACCGAAAGTTATCCTGTCGTCTTGAAACCCAACGAATCCGCTGGTTCGGATGGCGTCAAGCTCTGTTATACCTACGAGGAGGCGGTGGAACATTTTCATCGTCTCATGAAATCGCAAATGGTCAATGGGGGAGAAGTCCCTTCCGTCTTGTGCCAAGAATTCCTCAAGGGCAAGGAATACGTCGTCGATCATGTGTCAAGGGATGGACTCCACAAAACCATGATGGTATGGGTCTACGACAAACGTCCCGCCAATGGAGCTGCCTTTGTCTATTACGGATGCAGTGCGGTCCCTTCCGACAGTCCCGAAGCCAAAATTTTGATCCCCTATGTCCGGGGTGTCTTGGATGCCTTGCACCTCAAGAACGGGCCATCGCATGGTACGTGTGGATGTTTGACTATAGAAACGACGCAGTATCCTGTCTACGATTGGAATGGCAAAATTTTTGGATTTATCATTCTAATATTCTCACTCATTCTCTACCCATTTTTTCAAAATGAACATTACAGGAGAAGTCATTATTACGGACGATGGCCCCTGTCTCGTCGAAATGAACTGCCGCGCCCGGGGAGGGGATGGAAATTGGCGACCTCTCTGCAAGTCCCTCAATGGAGGATACTCCCAAGTCGAAGCGACTGCCGATGCCTACCTGGATCCCTTTCAATTCCAACGATTGCCCGACTTGCCACCAGCACCCTTCAAATCCTCGGGAGATGAAATCATTCTGGTTTCCTATTCGGAAGGAACCGTCAAGGCCATGCCAGGATACGATATGATCAAACGATTGCCCTCGTTTCATTGCCTCGAAACGGGGGTCAAGGTCGGAACTGAGGTTGCCCGTACCATTGACTTGTTTACCGGAATTGGTAGTGTCATTTTGATGCATTCCGATCCAAAAATATTGCAACGGGATATTGACTTTATCCGATACATGGAAGAATTCAATGGAATCTTTGATTACGAACCAAGGGCCTCGGAAAACTTGACACGTCCTCATGGAGATTCTATTGTTGAAACCAAATCCAAGCATCATCGCAAACACAGTTCGATTGGTGGTCCCAATCTTATTCGACACATGAGTATCGATCGTCAATTCGGATTCGCACCAAGTTTGAAGAAACGCATGACGACCATTGATGCTTCCAAAGAAGCCGTCATTATGGTCGATCCCTACAGTACCGGAGCGATTGTTGCATTGGAATTCATGAATCGAGGATATCATGTCATTGCCTTGTGGAATAAGGGCCTCACACCTGTCATGAAGACACATGTTCCCATCATGGCCGCCAACGATTCCGGCTTCAAGTATTTCAAAGAATTGGACGAAGGAGATACCTTGGAAGATACCGTCCGTATGGTCACCGAAGCGGCGTCCCCCTACCGGCTTGTGGCTTGTATGGCGGGTGGAGAATCTGGCGTCGATTTGGGAGATGTTCTAAGTGAAGCCCTCAAGCTACGCACCAACGGTACAGATATTCCCAATCGACGGGATAAAAAGTTGCAGCAGGAATTGTGTCGCAAGGCAGGCCTTCGATCCGTTCGTCAAGCGGGTGGCGCGAAATTTTCCGACGTGGAGGACTTTTTGAAACGAGAACCTTTCCCGGTCGTACTCAAGCCCACGGAATCGGCAGGATCCGATGGTGTCAAGCTATGCCGTAGCATGGAAGAGGCCAAGGAACATTTCGAACTGTTGATGCAAAGCCAAAGCGTGAATGGAGGCCAAAACTCGGCCGTTCTCTGCCAAGAATTTCTTCGCGGCAACGAATACATTGTGGATCATGTCAGTCGCGACGGAGTCCACAAGACATCGATGGTTTGGTTGTACGACAAGCGTCCCGCCAATGGATCTGCATTTGTGTACTATGGATGTATTCCGTTGGATCCCAATCTTCCCGAAGCTCGTATTTTGATTTCCTACACTCGGCGCGTTCTGAATGCGATCGGTATCAAGAATGGAGCGACCCACGGAGAAGTCATCATGACCAACGATGGACCCTGTTTGGTCGAAATTAATTGCCGTGCCAATGGTGGTGACGGTTCCTGGGTACCACTCGCCCGTGCCTTGACGGGCGGAGAGACCCAAGTGAGCACCCTCGTCGACGCGTACACGGACGCGAAGCAATTCCAAATCTGTCCCGAAATTCCACCCACTCCCTTCAAGTCGTCCGGTCAAGAAGTCTATTTGGTCTCTTTTTCCAAAGGAGTCGTCAAGTCTTGTCCTGGGTTTGAAAAGATCAAACAACTCGAAAGTTACTTTTCTATGGAATCGGGTGTCCAACCGGGTACCTTTGTGGACTACACCATTGATTTGATCTCGTGTGTCGGAATTGTGTCCCTGATTCATGAGGATCCGGCAAAACTAAAGGAAGACATTGATTTCATTGGGGATCTGGAGAAGAACAATGAGATGTTTGAATATGAAGGAGGCAGTCTGCTGCGTAAGTTCGATCACGATGACTCCGTGCTCGAGACGACGACGATTGCTCGAAGCGACTTTTAGAGCGAGTTTGAGAAATAGCAAAGAGATCGCATACGCCTAGATACCGGTACATCTACTCCCACCCTACAGCAATAATACATGATATTAGATAGTGAAGACAACCACTAACATGGCAAATGCATCAGAGAGTCAACAGTACTGTAGTATTACTTTTGCAGTCCGGTGGTCGAGAATTTCCACAAAGATACAAGACCCAATGTAGTAATGGAACTATTGCGTGCTTCTGCTGCTTCTGCATGGATGCATGAAGTAAGATGGAGTTCACGTTGACTGATTCGAATACTTGAATTTCCGGCACAAAGTTCGCGGAGAAAATATGATGTCAAAAACGCTGGAAAATCTCTCGCTCGCGACCTAAAAAGTCATTTCACCGGCAAATCACTCTCGCAAAACAGCTCCACAAAATTCCAACAGACGCGCATTTTCTCACAAACCTGCATGTTCCTCAATACAAGAACTACGAAAATGAAACTGAACTTGAGATTGATTGTCCTTGTGACCTTTGGTCCAGCCCTAATCCTTGCCGGTGACATTGGCAAGTGCTCGGAACAAGCAAGTTGCATCGATTTTACCATCCAGAAAACGAGCAACTGCTTTGGAGAAGACTGTGGTATTCAGGTCTGTATGATCGTGGACACTGAAAAGGAAGGCTGTCCGAAGGAAGAAAACATCAGTCACTTGTGTTCTGCTAGTTCGGGTGGATGCGCCGCATACGATACCGACGGTGTGACACCTCTCACTGGAAAGGGCACTTCGTCTGACTGTACCAGTACTACCTTTGATGGCAAATGCGAGCCTGAGACATATGGTGGTCAGAGGAGGGTCGAAATGTGCCAAGAAGGAAAGCCAGGAGAAACCGTTTACTGGGCACTCAAGGATGCAGAAATAGAAGAAACAGGATCTTCTGAATACACTGGTTTCTTTACCTTTGAACAAGATTTTACCACTTGCTCACCAACGATCAAATGTCTGGGAGATGGGCACTCCTTGGAATGCGCAGCTCCTAACAGTGACATGACTTCATCTACCCGTGTTTGGGAGTATACCATCCCTGCCAATGATGGCAATGCTTGTGATCTGTGTGGCGGTGGGGGGACTCCAACTTCACCAACACCAACACCAAATCCACCTACTCCAGCATCATTGCAACCAATCTCAACACCATCTCCAGTCGCGCCTACTCCAGGTTCTGATATTGAGCCTACACCTGGAAGCAACGGAGATCCTCATTGTAAGTCAATCAGAAACTTACACATCTTTGCGTCACTCAGTTTGTTTGATCTAACCTTATCTTTGATGTCTTTTGTGGCTGTGTTCTTCTTCTTCTTCTCTCCAATGACCGCTGTACAGTCAAGACCTGGAAGAACGAGCACTTTGAATATCATGGACAATGTGATTTGGTCCTCATCAAGGATGAAGACTTTGCAGATGGCCTTGGTCTTGACATTCAACTCCGCACCAAGTTGGTTCGTTACTGGAGTTACATTCGTAACGCTGCCGTCCGGATTGGACATGATATCATCGAACTGGAAGGATCGGGCGATGGCCCCCAAGATCAATCCGTCCGATACTGGTACAACATGCAATTCCGATCAGACGAAGCCAAGACTTTGGGTGGATTCCCCATGGAGATTCGTCGGGTCTTGTCCAAGAAAACCAAGATTGAGATTGACTTGAACAGCAAGTATCCTGGTATCAAGATTGTTCTATCCACCTACAAGGAATTTGTCAAGGTGGAGGTCGAAGGAGCCACTGAAGAAGCCTTTGGCAATTCCATTGGATTGTTGGGTGATTTCCAAACGGGAGAAACCCTTGCCCGTGATGGTAAGACCTACATGCATGACTTTCGCGAATACGGTGAGGAATGGCAAGTCTCCCCAGTGGACGACATGCTCTTCCATTCGACGGAAGAACCTCAATTCCCCAAGAAGTGTCTGGAGCCTGAGGATCCCCGTGGACACCGTCGTCGTCGTTTGGACGAGTCCAATATCACAATGGAGCAAGCCGAGAAGGCCTGTTCCAGACTGAAGGATCCTTTGGACCAAAAGGATTGCATTTATGACATCTTGGCCACTCAGGATGTTGGAATGGTTGGAGCCTTTTAAAACAGAAAGGCCGTGGGCTTTTAATGCTGTTGTAAAATATAATACACATATATAATACGAACAAAGTTTGGCAATTCAGAGTTACTCCTTCCACTTGCTCTGAGAACGTCATCGAAGTTAAAATCGGACATTACGAACGCACTATGGATTATCATGCAGTTCCATCACTTTCTAAGCGATGATTAAGATGCAGCGAAGAGTATTAAAGTATTACGGTGGAAAATGTAGTATCGGTTTTGTTTGCTTCCACAATCGCCCACAAAGGTATAACACAATGCCATGCATTGCTTCACCACTTGTCTATACTGTGTCTATCCCGATTGTGCCGCTAATGAATCTTCTGGTGGCCCCGATCCGTTTGGAATTAGAATAGCAATTTGATTTCCATTGAGCAAAATTTCAGTTTCCAACTTGGTCTTGATGACCTTGGTCTTATCGTCTGGATCAGGTGTGTATTCCACGGCATCATCCAGCACAAGATTGACCTATTGTAATATTTGATACAATAAATAATACTTCTTGTTAGAGTGGTGGAAATTGACAACAACCGATTAATGGAACACAAATCATTGAGATACGTACATAATCATCAAAGCCCCTCAAGGTCCCAACAACCTCTTTCGTCCCCCGCAATAAGATCCACATTTGGGATCCAATGGCTTTGTCAATCAATTCCAATGGTAGAATTCGAGTCGCCATTGTTCTTTAGTTGCAGGGTGAATTTCAAGATGGTTTTGGTAGCTATTGGTCTTGGGCGTTGTGGAACACTTGCAAGGCGTTAGAATGTCAACTTGTAGATGAACCTGCTGTCTATGATTGCCGTCAATCTACCTGTTTTTATATATTGTAGTTGGATGTTACCGCGTTCTATGTTATTGTCCTGTTGAGAAGGGACTGTTGAAGGATGGACGAAGGAAGTGTCCGATTATACTGTAAGTCGGACTTTCGAACAGTGGTTTCAATGATACTCGACCACACACAATAAACCGGCAAATTCAACGGCCGCAATCTAAAAACAATGAGACACTACCCGCGCATGCAATGGTGATGATGATGATGATGATGAAGCTTTTGAAGGGAATCCCATTCATCATATGGAGGCCTCGCCGCCTTCAAAGGCCTACTGTAAAGAACAACACAACCGGCTGCTTGAAAAGAAATTCCAGCTAGCGAAATGAAAATCTGAAAATGTCGTTTCGTTTCGCCAGCGTGTACCGTGTTCATTTTTTTGGATAATTCCACGATGTTGATGCAAACGATATGCAAACATGCACTCTGGCCACTTTGACTTTCACACTCCAAAAGCTCATAAAAACAAAGCGCCGAGCTTTTTGTGCAATCTTATTCTTCGCTTCGCATATAACACCAAACACCAAACATCATAATCAAACATGAACACCTTCTTTGCAACCAAGCAACAACGTGGAAACCTTATGAAGGACGACCGTCACGTCACTGTCGAGCAAAACCAAGACGACATGGAGGAGCTTATGAAACTATTCTCTGATCTTTCCCTTAACTGCAATGAAACCAAAGCGAAAATGGAGGAAGAAAACGACGAAACAATGGGGTTGTCATCGCAAACCACCACCACCACCGCCACCACCAAGAACGAGCCAAATCAGATCGTCCTCGATTTGTCTGATCCAGCACCTTTGGCTTTCTCACAACCAGCAACACAAGATGTCATGCCGCAATCTGATTGTCTGAATGCTGCTGGAGACGAAATTGAAGCTGAAATGATGGCGACTTACCTTTCGCTCCATCCTTCTTTGGAACTCGCCACAGGCAATGCTTCTGTAACCGAGCTTGCTAAACGATTCTCCGGACTTTCCATCGACTGCAATGCGATGGAAGTTGACCAAGACGAAATGGACATTGATCTACCGGAAATCGATTGGATGCAAGTTGATATTGATGAAATGGAAATCGATCTACCTGAAATTGACTGGATGCAAGTCGATACTGATGAAATGGAACTCGATGGTCCATAGATCTTCCAAAGAGATCGTCAACCCGTAACCCGCTTCCAGACATACGACCTTTCTCGAAACTATCTTCTTCTTTTCAGTGCTCTTGACTTGTCAGAAAATGTTGGCCAACACTATTGCACTCGCAACTGACAATGTCACGAACATCTGGAGACGAGGAGGATGCTTCGATGAAAGATCCTTGCGTGGTTACGGGCTATTCCCAAATAGTATTCCGCTGAAGGATTATTCCACTGATCCTTCCAACAAGGCTGAACGAAATAAAAAGAGAGTTCACGTCCTTCGACCGCTACCGTTGATCCTGCTTCAGCTCTAAGTTCGAGCTGTTGTGGTCCAAGAATCGCGTAAGTCAGTATGTACTTCAATGCTCCTTTTTGGGTGAAAAAAGTCCCAAAAGAGTATGTCGAAGGCATGCCGTAGTATGTACACAATTCAGTACATCTACACTACTATTGGATATATGCATCAAGAGATGCAAAAGTCAAAATGAAAGAAAAAATAATAATATGACAACCAAAAATGAAACAGAAGAGGTCATTGTCCCTCGAACGCATCAATAAAATGAACACCGTGCAACATGAATGACAAGGTATAATGATTCTTTGAATGAAAGAAAATTCAAAAACAACAACTTGAATCAATATTATGCATCGATAAATACAACCAAACAAAAAAGAAATGTATGCATCAATAAAAATACAACTTTGCACGGAAACAATTCAAAGATCGAAACAAAAAATATACATAAAGATCAACAGATGCAATATACAATAACATGAGCCATTTCCTTTATAGTAGTCTAGAGTACTGTACACTCATTGGTGGTATTTGCTGTCATGATCGTATCACATATGCGGTAGATGAATGAATGAAATAATCATGAATGAATGAATACTAACCTAGGTTTGGCAAGTACTTGGCAAATGCATGGTGACGAATCGAATACAAGAATGAAACGTTCTTCACTACGGTGAAGGGATGGGGGCCTCTATAGGTAGTACAGTCCTAGTTGATCTTTACCAGCTACAGTACATCTGACCAGAAACGTAGTGTGACCAATCCGAGTAATCTTGAGTGGTTTCGCTGCGGATTATACATGTTAATCCCTGCGCGGAGGGACGCGCATGCCTATCTCCGACTGTCTCTATCGAGCATTCCGTAGCACCCATAACTTATGTAGAACATGGTTTTGAGCACTACTTCAATAGTTCTACATAATTATCCCTTGACAAGAATGGTGTAGGTGATTCCCTCCAACGCAGAAGTGTCGACAATCACTCCCCCTGACGGATACCAAACCCCGCCTCAGGACTCCCAAGGAGCCCGATGTTCAGCTCCTCAACGCGAGGACACACCACCACCATCGGCTTGTCATTGTATTTTTTCGGCTTCCCGACTCCCAAAAGTCGTCCACCGAAGCCCCTAATATTTCAGAAGTGCCTGTTCTATTATGGTTTATGGCTCATGTTTCCTCTCCAGGAGGTTGTTCATGAGCAAGTCTAACTGTTTCAATTTTTGCAACGGCAAAGAATCGGTCCAATCTATTCCCGGTTCTGACGCAAACTACCAGAAATTTGACCAACAACGTTGGGCGCCGTCTCACATTCTACACTGTTCATGATGCTTCGCTACTGGTCCTTTATGCTGCCCACGATGAACCTGGCGCACCCCAAACCCAACACCAAAGCGGGTGTCGATCGACGACTTCCAAGGTTGCTCGATTTCCAAGGTTGCTAGGCCGTGAAGTTCCAAGGTTGCCGGCCTTCCAAGGTTGCAGGCCGGCACAACATTCGATTTCCAATCAATTATTTCGAATGAATAAAATTCAAAATGCTCCACAGAGCGTCGGCAAGGTTGTGTTAATCCCTGCGCGGAGGGACGCGCATGCCTATCTCCGACTGTCTCTATCGAGCATTCCGTAGCACCCATAACTTATGTAGAACATGGTTTTGAGCACTACTTCAATAATACATACCGCAGCATTGAAAAAACGAGCCAAATTCAAATGTATTTATGTGCAGTCAATTTGATCGGCAAGACGGGAGACGTATGGGCGTTTCTAGCTCTTCCCTAGTCTCAATTTCCGTCGCTTCAGTTAAGTACACGGTTGGCGGACGGAGCGAAGAGTGTCGACGAAGAGGGCGGAAGATTTGGAGAAGACATTGTTCGCAATGGGAGCTTGTGGGATGATGAAGACGATAGAAGGAGCTTAGCTGCTCGGTCAAGACCGTAAGCTTTTTTGCTTTTGCTTTTGTTGCCTTTATGAAAAATCCTCCTTTGAGGTCTCCTCCGTCAAGGCTAACAAAAATCCTCTGTCAAGGTCCTCTGTCAAGGTTAACAAAATCCTCCATCAAGGGCCTCTGTCAAGGTTACAATATCCTGCGTCGAGGTTAATCAACAATCCTCCACCGTCAAGGTTATCCAAACAAATTACCCCTCAAGCGCCTTTTGAGGGGAATTTCCTGTCCAAAACAAAAACTTTTCCTTCTAAAACTTTTCTTCCTTTTTTATTTCCCGTTCACCCTTCCCTCTCTGCTTGCTGACACGCCACTTCTATGGATTTCCCTGCACTGCAGTACATTCCATACCAACCTCCACACACTTACAATATCTTTCCAAATCGCGTCCCTCCTCATAAATTCCTGATCTCAGATTTTTAACGACCAATTGATGGACACCATCATCCGCCATGCGATTCCCTTCATTCTCTTTTATCAAGTCCCTCCCCACTAATGTGGACTCCGATGCCAGCATGTCCGATGCCAGCATGTCTGATCGTGCCACTGAAGAACGTTTTCCATGGCTCGTCTAGCATGTCTGATCATGCCACTGCTGTCACCTCGGCACTTGGTCTGATGTTCTTCGACCCCCAAGGAAAGCTCATGGTCTTTGCCTCCCTCTGAGACGACCTTGCCCAAATGATCCCCATGATGACCATTGACCCCGACGAACTCTCCAAACGGGTAATTGGAGTGGCATTAATGGCCACGCCGTCTGGTGCTGCGTCAGTCTGCTGAAGCACACCCAGTACCACACGACGCAGACTTACCTGAAGACATCAACTTCACAGTCGAATCACCAACCTTCTGTGCTGCCTCGGTGTTCTGCCCTCTTGTACTTGGTAGCAAGATGCCACCGAATCTGGACCTTACCCAAGACGTCCCTGAAGAAGTTCTTCCAGTCCTTTCGCTTCACAAACGTCTATGGGTCAAAGTTCATGTCTTTCTCTTCCAGAATATGAGGGGAAGAAGCCTTTTTGTTGACAAGACCCTCGTTGGCAAGACTTCTATCCCGCTGGACCAGTTTATTGTCAACGAGCAGCTAGCTGCAATCTCCGAGAATACTCTCTCCACAGCATCTGGGTACGAGTTTTGTGACGCCCAGGCTGGCTCTGAGTCCTTTTACAAGTACATTGCAAGCTTCAACAGTAAGGTCGATGTGTCTCCGCCAAACCAAGTTTTCCTACCAAGACTGTCCAACCAATCGACCATGCCAGCATCACCAAGAAGGCCATTTTGGCATCAAAGACCACGGCCACCAAAAATGCTGCAACCAAAGCTCAAGAGCGAGTCCTACTGTTCTGGCAAATCCTCTTTGGCCATTTCATCACCCACTTGGATGGGAGTGTTGAATACGTACTGGCTGATTGTTTGTCCGCTTGGAAGAACCATTTTCTAGGCAAAACTCCAACTTGCCCTTTGTTTCTTCCACGAAGCCTTTGAGCAATCCATTAAAGGGCTCACCATGCTCTCTTTGACTGGGATATCCATTGCATCCAGGCAGCTGGGATGGCGGCGATCCAAAGAGCCAGCTTTACCACCAGATCTTTGGTAATGAACCCATCCGATGCACTGTCCTGGTTTAGTCTCCTTCAGTTCCTCCCTTCCGTCAGGACAGACAAGGACTTGGCCTTGCATATTAACAAAGATGTAGAAGCCTGTATGCAAGAAGACATGGGCGAGCATGTCACCAAAGGGCCTCCAAGAAGACGAAATTATACTCAAAGGGTCGCTGCACCTCCATTGCCAACATCAAATGCACCATCTCCAACGTAGCACAACTTGCTGCCGTTGCAACCAAAAATTTCTCCATGTCCAACAACACACCCTTCATGGTGGAACAGTTTGACACGGTCATGGTTGCTTTGTACTGTGCCAAACCAACTTGCTTCTTGTATGTAGCATCAGGCTTAACGTGTGCAATTTCTCCAGACAAAGCCTACATCATGCGATTCAAGCCCAGGAGTGGAGGCGGCGCCAGGGGGTAAGTAATCTTCGATTATCGGAGGGCGTATAGTCCTGCCAAAAAGCCGTGTTTGTGTCTTGGGAATCGATTTTTTGGGGACAACGAGTCACGGGCATGATTTGAGATGACAATAAATATATCATGTGCAAACAATAATATTATTGCTTCACTTCCAAGTGCACAAGTGAAAAGTCATTCCCAAGACAAGCAACAAAGTGATTTGAAGATAGTTGAATAGCATTGGGCTGATTACTGTAGATCTTAGCTTTCAACCAAGCACTGAAACAAGCAAGAACGGAACAAAGCACCGCACAGTTTACAACATTTTCTGTGATATCTGAACAACCGCAGTTTCACAATAAGAGAGTATACTCATACACAAATCTACGTACAGCTATACAAGAATAACAACCAAATTCAATCTAAAATTCAACTGGATTGAAGTGATCAACCATGCCAGTCTTTACCATATTTGGCTCCAACGATAGTTCCAGAGAAACCTCTGAGAGCGACTCTGACGCAACCAGTGATAGTGGGTCCACCAGAAGTGGATCTGGTAGTGGCAGGAGCGAAAGCGGTTCCGGCAGTGGTAGCAAAAGCGGATCTGGCAGCGGTAGCGACAGCAACAGTGATGATACCTCTGACAGTGGTTCTGGCTCTGGATCTGACTCTGGAAGTCGATCCGGCAGTGGCAGCGGAAGCGGAAGCATTCTGACAGCAATGACAAGTCGGAGAGCGGTGATACATCCAACAGTGGATCGGGTTCTGGCTTTGGATCTGGATCCGACAGTGGCTCGGATCTGGCTCTTGCAGTGAAACGGAAGCGGCTCTGACAATGATACTACCGATGATGGTAGCGATTCCGGCAGTGGAAGCGGCTCTGATAGTGGATCCGGCAGTGGAAGTGGTTCCAGAAGTGGATCCACCAGCGGTTCCAATGATGATACTGCCGATGACGGCAGTGGCTCTTGCAGCGGTTCTGAGAGCGGCTATGGATCGGATTCCGGCAGCGGCTCGGGCAGTGGATCTGATAGTGGAAGTGGCTCTGGATCAGGTTCAGGCAGTGGCTCTGGATCACCCAGTGGATCAGGCAGTGGCTCTGATTCCAAGTATGGATCTGGATCTGGATCTGGATCTGGATCTGGATCTGGATCTGGCAGTAGCAAAAAGAGTAGCTCTTCCAGCAAAAAGAGCAAGAGCAGCAGCTCCAGCAAGAACAAGAGCAAGGACCAAAGCGCCGCCATTGCCCCCAGGAGTGATGATGATGATAGCTTGGATGTCAGCACGGATACTAGTTTGGATGAAAGCAGTGGCAGCAAGAAATCCAAAAGCGAAAATTCCAACAATGACAAGATGGAGGGTATGGATGCTTGTATCATTGAAGATATGCCTATTGCATTGAGTTTGGAACATTTTGTGGCCGTCACAACATATTACAGTTTGATTGGAGACGATACTACTTGTGATACTAGTGACAGTCATGAATTGGACACTTCCATTGGTTTCTTGGGAACCAATTCCATTTGCAAATGGCAATCCCAATTCTTCCTTGGAATCTGGTGCAACCGAGAATTGAAGGTGGAAGAAGTTAGCATTTTCAATGTGAATGGTTTGAATGGAACCATTCCATCTGAGCTTGCCTTGTTGCAAAACTTGGAGAAACTTCACATGTCTGGCTTGGGTGGATCCTCGCCCATGCCCAGTGAAATTGGAAACTTGGAAAAGCTCCACACCCTCACGTTGCGCAAGTCCTCACTTTTGAATGGCATCATGTTACCGTTTGACTTCCTTTCATTTCATTTCATCTCACACAATCACTTTCTACTTTGATTATTGCTACTCTTTCTACTCTTACTATTACTCTTGTTATCGTTGCAGCCAATGTTGGTTTCTATGGATCTGTTCCTACCAAAGTCGGTCAATTGTTGTCCTTGCAATCCATGGATTTTTTAAGGTAGAGAATGGTCTAAGATTTTATCCAAGAAAAGGCCAGTCTTGACCGAAGCTATTGAAGTGAAAGTAGCTTTTGCCAAGGCTTCATCAGCGGTATGACAAGTGTGGCAAGAGGTAAGAGCATTGGAAATTTCAAGTTTGCGATAAAAGAGAGCAAGCCAACGTGGATAATTCACTGTTTGCAGCTATAACCCTCCTGATTGTAACGGGACCATGTGGAACACATGGTGGTTTGAAAGCTTGGTCACGCTGTTGTGCAACCAAGTTCAAGGAATTCCAATATGGCTATTAGTTTGACTCTGTATTTGGTAGCGGATCCAGGATTTCACATTGGATGCTTGATTTGGGTTGTGCTATGGGGCATCTTGATTCAACACGTCGTGGGAACAGCAGGTTCTTCAAATTGGGAGGTTTGGAACTTGGACTCTGCTCGAGTTGCGGAGCTCCCATAAGTGTGGTTCCAACTGAGTTGGTATTGTACAATTTGAGGTTGGCAAGGTTGTGGTTTCAGGCTCTGCCAAAGGTCTTTGTTAGGGCCGACGGTCGTAGAATATGTTGGCAGAAGGCTTGCTGAATAGATCTGCTAGAAGGGTTGCGATTGTGAAATGGCAAGTGGAGAAAGCAAAGTTCATCATTTGAGGTAGGGGAAGGATATTGTCTGGCCTTTTGGCGTAGAAATTGGTGTAGGGCTTTTTTGAAAGCAGAGCAAAGAAACTTCAGTTTGTATCCGCGGGCAACAAGGTGGGAGTGGAATTTTGACAAGGAGGCTCTCTTGTCTGCGTCTCTAGAGGTGAGTTGTAGAATGCAAAAACTTCCGCTGGTATCCAAGCCAAGTAGTACAGGTGTAGGTTCAGTGGCTTTTTGTACAGTTTTGTGCTGATTTGAAAAGGTTCAACAGAGAGGGTGAGACCCAGAAAGTTTGTGGTTTTTGACAGAGTAGAGAATTCCCAGTTCAGGGAACAGTGGTTGTCTTGACAGTTTTTGAATTCTTCCCAGAGTTGGCAATCGGAATCTGGATTGGGATGGTGGATCCAGATACCAAGTTGATCATCAATGTAGGTAAGCGTAGTGACAATCCAAAACATTGTAGAAGATCAAGTTCAAAAATACCGTAGTAGAGAGTTGCAAAAGAGGGCGCCGGTGGTGTGCCCATTGCGGTTCCATCAGTCTGGAGCCAGTAAGTGTCTCCAAATTGAAAGCAGTTTCTTGTCATGAGAAGTTGTAAAGCTGTCATGATTGCGTTCACTACAGTGAGGAGGTGGACAGGAATTCTTCAATACGGGTGAAAGCGTCTTCAAGATTGATGCTGGGATACATAGCTACAGCATCACCAGTGAAGAGACTCATGCGAGAGAAATCGGTTCCGGCCATGTTGTCAATGTCAGTTTTGAGTACAAACACGCTTGACAAATAGGTAGGTAGTTTGCGGATGATGGGTTGGAGTTGTTGATCTAGCCATTTACCGAGGCCATAGGCCAGAGTAGGCTGCCAGAGACCAAGACAATTGGTCGCGTTTTCCAGGGGCTCTTATGGATCTTTGCAAGTGCGTAGAAATAGGCATAGGAGTCAGTGACACGGTCAAGGGTTTTCTGGAGGTACGTCATGTTCATTTTTGTGATGGCAGATGCGTTATCATTAAGAAATTTGGCAATCAGTTGGCCAGTTTCTGTAGTGAACACGTGTGCATCCTTGGGGGAGAGCTGCTGGTAGGTCTCGGTGAGGAGATGGTCAGTGAGGCAGCGTTGGACGTATACCTCACGTTCCAGAAGTACAGGGCCAAGATTTTTGTCCGAGTTGAAGACAATGAAATCAGGTTTGTGATGTAGTGTAGTGAGAAGGTACTGTTGAATCGGGGTGAGATTTGAGTGCACCTTTTGGCAGTGGAACAAGGGAAGGAGATGTTTGCAGAAGGCGTTGACTTGGGCTTGGATTTCAGGATCCACCATTCCATCCTTTAGTTCCCACAAGTCATTGCGGGTGTAAAGTTGGTTTGGTGTCCGCATTCAGATTCCTCATCAGCAAAGTGGATCTTTGTGTGGAAGTCTTTTGCAAAACAAGTCAGTGTGGTTTCAAGTTGTGTTTGGCTTTCGGTGAAGTCAGTGTGGTTTCAAGTTGTGTTTGGCTTGTAGTGAAGGCGGAACAAGGGTGGCTTCTTGGTGGTGCACAAATTATGGCAGGCAGAATTGGAAAGGCGGGATTCAGGAACAGGAATTGGCAGTGACAGGATGTGGTTGCGTAGGTTGACTCAACGTGATTTTGATGGGTCTGCAAAGAGGCCAAAGTGCAATGTCATTGTAGAGCAAATTTTCTTTCTTGTTTTGAGAAGTGTTTCCTTTCTTCTGTGATTTCCTTCCTTAGTTGGGTTTTGGCTTGGAGGTAACGGCGTTGGCACCGGCAACTTTTGCGGCAGTTTTTGGCTGTGGCTTGGTCCCAGATGTGCGACGCTTTTGACCAGTCTCCTTTTTGTTGGAGGCGCCTGGCAATTGGCCCCTTTGGATTTCTTTTTTGTAAAGGCACGTTTAAGCGTCTGGATTTCTTTCTCCTGGTTCTTGATCTGTTTCTTGGTTTTGAGGCAAACACATTTTTCAATGTGTGACTCAAGCAAATTCGGAAAACTTGAGAATGGGCGGTCCTCCAAGACCAGCACTATCATACATCATTTGATAGATTTCGCAAGCTTTGGAACTGTCAGTGAACTTGGGGTCACCTAGAGCAAGGGTGGATGCAATGCTTTGTCATCTTCAAGAAGTTAGGCTGAGGCAGATGGCTCAAACTTGAATTTTGTTGAACTGACGATATGGGCAGTCTTTGGAGTGTCATTTTTTGTTCGTCCAGGTTCTCCAGAGCTTTCTTGAGTTTGAGGAACTCAGAATGAAGCTCAAGGAAAAAGGTGGTTTTGCTTTTCTTGGAGCGATCCGATGGCAGTCAATGCAGAGATTCCAACACATTTTGCGGCTTCCAAGGGTGTGGTGCTCGGAATTTGCTGTGTTTCGTCGTCAGCTGCATAGCTGGTGCGTTTGTTGTTAAAAGTGCCGGTCGCAGACATTATTGATCAATGATAAATATTTTAAGGTGGAGAATGATTCAATATTTTATCCAAGAAAAGGCCAGTCTTGACCGATGCTATTGAAGTGTCATCAGCGGTAAGACAAGTGTGGCAAGAGGCAAGAGCACGAAATTTCAAGTTTGCGATAAAAGAGAGCAAGCCAACGTGGATAATTCACTGTTTGCAGCTATAGCCCTCGTGATTGTAACGGGACCATTTAAAACACATGGTGGTTTGAAAGTTTGGTCACACTGTTGTTGCAACCAAGTTCAAGGAATTCCAATTCGAGTCGCCATTGTTTTTTAGTTGCTGGGTGGATTTCAAAATGGTGTTGGTAGCTATTGTTGTTGGGCGTTGTGGAACACCTGTAAGGCGTTGTAATGTCAACTTGTAGATGAATCGGTTGTCTATGATTGCCGTCAATCTACCTGTTTGTATTGTAGTTGGATGTTATTATTGCGTTATTTTATTGTCCTGCCTGTTGAAGGATGGACGAAGGAAGTGTCCGATTACTGCATTTTGAACTTCGGAATTTCGAACAGTAGATTCAATGATACTCGACCACACGACTACAAACCGCACTGAGACATCCGCATACAATGATGATGATGATGATGATGATGATGATGAAGCTTTTGAAGTGAATCCCATTCATCATATGGAGGCCTCGCCGCCTTCAAAGGCCTACTGTAAAGAACAACACAACCGGCTGCTTGAAAAGAAATTCCAGCTAGCGAAATGAAAATCTGAAAATGTCGTTTCGTTTCGCCAGCGTGTACCGTGTTCATTTTTTTGGATAATTCCACGATGTTGATGCAAACGATATGCAAACATGCACTCTGGCCACTTTGACTTTCACACTCCAAAAGCTCATAAAAACAAAGCGCCGAGCTTTTTGTGCAATCTTATTCTTCGCTTCGCATATAACACCAAACACCAAACATCATAATCAAACATGAACACCTTCTTTGCAACCAAGCAACAACGTGGAAACCTTATGAAGGACGACCGTCACGTCACTGTCGAGCAAAACCAAGACGACATGGAGGAGCTTATGAAACTATTCTCTGATCTTTCCCTTAACTGCAATGAAACCAAAGCGAAAATGGAGGAAGAAAACGACGAAACAATGGGGTTGTCATCGCAAACCACCACCACCACCGCCACCACCAAGAACGAGCCAAATCAGATCGTCCTCGATTTGTCTGATCCAGCACCTTTGGCTTTCTCACAACCAGCAACACAAGATGTCATGCCGCAATCTGATTGTCTGAATGCTGCTGGAGACGAAATTGAAGCTGAAATGATGGCGACTTACCTTTCGCTCCATCCTTCTTTGGAACTCGCCACAGGCAATGCTTCTGTAACCGAGCTTGCTAAACGATTCTCCGGACTTTCCATCGACTGCAATGCGATGGAAGTTGACCAAGACGAAATGGACATTGATCTACCGGAAATCGATTGGATGCAAGTTGATATTGATGAAATGGAAATCGAT